GACATTGTATGTAAGAAACTCATTATAATCCCATTTGTGATAATCTGCTTTACTGCTAGTAATTGTTTAAAAACAGTAAGGAATAAATAAAAATCCCAAAAAAGATATATTGAACACTATGAAGGATATTATGAAACTTGGAGAAACATTAAAATTAGAATTTCAACCATTATTTCAACCATTATTTTTGTTTACATTAAAACTCAACAGTTGGCCGGGCGTGGTGGCCCACACCTGCAATCTCAGCACTTTGGGAGGCTGAGGCTGGCAGATCACGAGGTCAGGAGTTCAAGACCAGCCCGGCCATCATAGTGAAACCCCGTCTCTACTAAAAATACAAAAATTAGCTGGGTATGGTGGTGTCTGCCTGTAGTCCCAGCTATTCAGGAGGCTGATGCAGGAAAATCACTTGAACCCAGGAGGTGGAGGTTGCAGTGAGCCGAGATTGCGCCACCACACTCCAGCTTGGGCAACAGAGTGAGATTTCGTCTCAAAAACAAACAAAGAAACAAAAAAAAAAGGCTCAACAGTTACGTTTTACTGAAATTAAAATCTCAACAGTAATTTTGTGAAAAGAAAATCTCAGCACCTATTTCTGTACTTATTGATAAGAATAGTTAAGAAACTCTTGAGGAATAAGAATGAAGCGGGAAGACTTTCCCTATCAGATATCAAGACATTTATTATTACTGCTACAGGTAATAAGGCAATGCTGTACTGGCATAAGATTAGATAAATAAACTGGTGGAATAGAACAGACAGGTCAGAAATAGTCCCAATAATATATGAACACTTGGTATTTGACAGAGTTGGCATTGTAACTGAATGGGAGAAGGAAAGACTTTTTAACAAATGATATTAGGGCATTGGATATTCATAAGGAAAAAAATTAGACCTCTATTCTCATACTCTACATGAAAATTAATTCCAAGTATATTAAAAACCTAAATTTGAAAGTCAAAACCGTAAAAATTGTAAATGTTATCATAGTATAAAGGAATATTTCATGATATTTTAGTATAGGAAGATTCCTTTGAAAAGACACAAAAAGCACTTACCGTAAGAAAGGATTGATAACTTCGATATCTATCTTATAATTAGAACTTATGTTTATCAAAAGAAATCATTAAAATGGAAAAGTAAGTGACAAGGTGGGGAGAGATGTATGGAACACATATAAAGGAGAAAGAACTAAAATTAAAACAACTTCTACAAATTAACTTGAAAAAGTCATACAACTCAACAGGAGAAAATGACAAATGTCTAGAATAAATGCTACACAAAAGAGGAAATCCTAATGTTCAGTAGGCATGTGAAAAGATGCTCAACATTATTAGTCATCAGGAAAATCAAATTATGAGATGCCATTTACACCAACTAGATAGGCAAAAATTAAGAAGTCTGATAATACCAAGTGTTGGCCAGCAGGTGGAGCAATGAGAACTGTTAAACCTGGCTAGTAAGGGTGTGAATTGGTACATGCCTTGAGGAAGTTAGGTATCATCCAATTAAATTGAAGGTGCTCATATTCCATAAACCAGTAATTCCATTCTTACATAAGTGCCCTAGAAATACCTGTGTTTATATACACTACCAAGAACATTGATGGTAGCACTGTTTTGTAACAGTCAAAAATAAGATTTCATCTCACCCCAGTTAAAATGGCCATTATCAAAAAGACAAAAAAAAAAAAAAAAAAACAGAATCTGGCAAGGATGTGGAGGAAGGGGAACTCTCATACACTGTTATTGGGAATGTAAGATGGTACAGCCATTATGGAAAACGGTATGGGTGTCCCTCAAAAAACTAAAAATAGCACTACCATTATGATTCAGCAATCTTGCTGCTGGATATATATCCAAAAAAATTTTTAACAATATATTGAAGAGATATCTGCACTCCTATGTTTATTGCATCACTATTTACAAGATCCAAGTTATGGAATCAACCTAAGTGTCCATCAGTAAATAAATGGATAAAGAAAATGTGATAATATGTACACGATTTAATAGTATTCAGGTATTTAAAAAAGAATGCAATCCTGTCATTTGTGGCAACACAGATGAGCTTGAAGGATTTTATGTGAAGTGAAATAAGCCAGGCACAGAAAGACAAATATCACATGTCCTCACTCATGTGGGAGCTAAAAAGTTTCAAGGAGGTGGAGAGTAGAATTGTGGTTGCCAGAGGCTGGGAAGGGTGCTGCAGAGGGGCGAATGAAGAGAGATTGGTTAATGGGTGCAAAAATACAGTTAGAGAGAAGGAATAAGTTCTAGCGTTCAATAGCACAACAGAATGACCACAGTGTTTTGTTGTTGTTGTTGTTGTTGTTGTTGTTGTTGTTGTTGTTGTTTTAGACGGAGTCTCGCTCTGTTACCCAGGCTGGAGTGCAGTGGCACGATCTCGGCTCACTGCAAGCTCCGCCTCCCAGGTTCACGCCATTCTCTTGCCTCAGCCTCCCGAGTAGCTGGGACTACAGGCACACCCCACCACGCCCAGCTATTTTTTGTATTTTTTAGTAGAGACGGGGGTTTCACCATGTTAGCCAGGATGGTCTCGATCTCCTGACCTTGTGATCCGCCCGCCTCGGCCTCCCAAAGTGCTGGGATTACAGGCGTGAGCCACTGCTCCCAGCCGTGTATTTCAAAATAGCTAGAAGAGAAGATTTGTAATGTTCCTAATGCAAAGAAATGATAAATGTTTGAGCTGATGGATATCCCAATTACCTTGATTTGATCATTACACATTGTACACATGTATCAAAATATCACGTGTACCCCATAAACATATACAATTATTATACATCAATAAAACTAATAAACTGTAAAAATAAAACCTGCAAACAACCAGAATGTTCCTCAAAGTTATCATGAATAAATCATGGTATATTTATACAATGGTAAACTGTACAGCAATAAAAATGGATCAACTACAGCTATCTGCAATATCGATGAGTCTCACAAGCAATGTGGAATGAAACAAGATAGTCACAATTCCAAGTTTAAAAAGCATTTAATGTTTGAACATCTGTAAAACAAAACTGTTGTTTAGGGATGCTTATAAGGAAGAAAACGTATAAACATACGCAAAGAAATGATTATTACAAATGTCAGCATAGGGGCTACACCTGAGATGGAGGGAGGGATGTCATCAGTGGTGGGGGGAGAGGAGTAGGTTATTAAAGGGCTCTATTTCTTGCCCTGGCTGGTTATTACATGGGTGATGGCTTTATAAATGTTCTTTAAACTGGTAGTTCTCTTCTGAATGTATGTTTTCCTAATGAAATAGAAAGTAGGGTCACTAGTTGGAAATGATGAGGGAGGGAGTATTAAAAGATTTGAGGAAAGGAAGATGATATGAAAGAACCAGAGACATTGGAGAGTGAACAGACTAGAGAAATACAGTATTTTTATCTTTTCTGAAAGCTTTTTATATTGTTTCTGATTTATTATGCTTTTTCTCTCACATGCAACGATATTTTATTAACTTTAACATACTACACTATATATAGTTATCCCAGTAAAATTATAATGCTATTTAATGTTTAAAAATAAATTGTAAATGCAAAATTAAGTCAAAATATACCATATAATGATTTGTCACAAAACATTAGTCATTTATTATTTCAACTTGAGCTTTAGAAAAGCTCATGTCGTTTATATTTAGAAAAAAATGTGTATCATGCATATATTGTGTTGTATGATGGCTTTTTATTCTTTTACTTTTGACTTTTTATACCAAGAAATTTTAGTGTTAAATTGTATATTTTATGTATTTAAATAGATATAGATATTTATTACCTCCTTATTTTATTGATCTCAACTCCTAAAAGTCATTTTTAATATCAGAAAACATAGCCACATTAACATCACTAAACTAAATATTAACATTGACATTTAAAATTACTTGAAAACGACTATGCCCTTAAATTTTGCTGAGAACATTTAAGTGGAAAAAGTTGACAGGTCTGTATAATTTTACAGTATTGCCTAGGGTTTCATATGAACCGATTTGAAAAACTCAATTATTTAAATTACAACTTACTTTAGTTGTAAATCCACGTTTATATTATAATTGCATAGCTTCAGGCTTCAACATACACAATGTAAAGTTTTTATAAGGGCAAATATAGTAAATTTAAGCAATTATTAGCAATTTAGCTTTAAAATATACTCTGAGGGGAAAGTACCCTAACTTTTTCCTCTGCTCTCACACCATGGCAATCAACACAGAATATTTCCATGTCCAAATGTGTGGGGTTTTCCCACACGCTAAGTGAGCAATCAGTTCTGCAGCGAACACCAGATGGGTGTACTCCAATTCCATTCTGACGCAATCTACCTATAGATAGCGTCATATCCCACAAGCTGAGGACTAGGTCTCACAGGACTGTTCCCAGACCCTTCAGACACCAGTTGCAAATCCAAGCCTCCAGAACTTCTGACAGATGGGCTTCAATTTTTAGTTCACATGACCCCTTCTTTGGGTTTAATTTGCCAGAAAGGGCCACAGAACTTAGGGAAATACTTAACGTTTACCACTTTATTATAAAGGATATATCAAAGGACACATGAAGAGATGCATAGGGTGAGGTACTGCAGAAGGGGCTCAGAGCTTCTGTGCCCTCCCTGGGGCACCACCCTCCAGGAACCTCCACATGTGCAGCTATCTGGAAGCTCTCAAACCCCAGTGCTTTGGGGTTTTTATGGAAGCTTCATTGCATAGGCATGATTGATTAAATCATTGGCCACTGGTGATCAACTTAACCTTCCACCCCTCTTCCCTCCCTGGAGGTCGGAATGAGGTTGTTAAGTCCCAACCCTCTAATGGTGCCTTGGTCTTTCTGGTGACTAGTTCCCATCCTGAAGCAACCAGGGGCTGCCAGCCATAAGCCAATCATTAGCATACAAAAAGATATCACTTTGGAAATTCTAAGGATTTTAGGAGTTGTATGCCAGGAAACAGGATCAAAGACCAAGTATATATTTCACAATATCACATATACCGTGTGAGTTTTCATTTCATTATATTCTGTAATAACTGTGGCATTGTCAGAGATAAAACACAGTCTTTTAAAAAATAATTTGGATCTACAAACATTGAATCTAGGAATATTGAAAATTGATGTATGCAATTCTCAGATAGTTCAGGGAAAAAATATCCTGTGTGTGTATAGACAGAGTGCACACTTAAATAATAAAGCAAATGGGGAGAAATATTAATAGTAGGGGAATTAGGGTAAAAGGGACATGGGTGTTCTTTCAGCTTTATTTATGCTTGCAACATTTTTAAATGTTTGAAATTATTTTTAAAAAAGAAGTTAAAATGAAGAAAGGGACATGGATGGACAGAATGACATAAGTGGAAATCACCAGTGTACTTGGGAGATAAATGCATCTTTTTCCTTTCCTTATGCAGACTCTGTGTTCATACTTTCTTGAATCCACAAGTTGAGTACTGTCCCAACACATCCCGATCTGCAGATGTGGAAACTCATCTTCAGCTCTCCTGGAGCAGCCATTTTCTGCCAACCTTGGTGGCAAATGCTCTCTGACATCATACCTCCAACAATTGTATCTTTAATTTCTGTGGCATTCAGTGAGAAGTTCTCACTGCTAAATCTACAACCAAGTAAGACAAATACAGGACAAATTTGGTTCAGTAAGGACATGCAAGAGGAGGGCATTACTAAGATATCTGTAGGGGGAAACTATAACACATGTCATCTTGGAAATCCTCAAAATCCTAGAGTTGAAATAAATGGGACAGTTATACAGTGTGATTCTGTTTGTGAAATTTCAGTTCCTGAACTGGTGCTAAGAGCAAACATGCCATCAGTAACACAAACTCATCAAATGTTCCAGTTGAAAGTAATTTTTTATTATTGTTATTATTATCAGCAGCAGCATCATTATCATTAGCACAAAACTAAATCCATTATTAAAAGAAAACAAAAACACAGCCCAAAGGCATGTGTCCTGCTGACAGTGAGTCAATAACTTTATCTTCGTGTACAAGGGACAGCACCCTGAGGATATACCACATCACAGCTTGATAATCAATTCAATAATTCGACCAACGTTATTGAGCACCTAGGCACAATGGAAGATTTAAAAATGCATACAAGAATCCCTGCTTTCAATGAGTTTTACAGTCTAGTAGGAGGTATTGAAGAATACAAGAACACAGGGTCACATGAGATTAGTGACATAATGGAATCAGTACCATGTATGAAATGCTGTTAGAAGCGGGCATCACAGAGGCCAGGCGCAGTGGCTCAGGCCTGTAATCCCAGCACTTTGGGAGGCTGACCTGGGTGGATCACCTGATGAGGTTGGGAGTTCAAGACCAGCCTGACCAACATGGAGAGACCCGATCTCTACTAAAAATACAAAATTTGCCGGGCATGGGTGGTGGGCGCCTGTAATTCCAGCTACTCGGGAGGCTGAGGCAGGAGAAGAATCACTTGAATCCGGGAGGCGGAGGTTGCATGAGCCGAGATCATGCCATTGGTACTCCAGTCTGGGCAACAAGAGCGAAACTCGGTCTCAAAAAAAAAAAAAAAAAGAAAGAAAGAAATAAAAGAAAAAGAAAGGGGCATCACAGAGACTAATGTTAAAGAGACTAATGTCACAGAGATTAATGTCACATTCAGTTGGGGGAAATCAAGAGGCTCCATAGAGAAGGTGACCTCTGAGCTGGGCTTTGAGGAGCTGGAAGGATTTTGGTAGACTGGCATGTGAAGAAGGAGCACTGCAGGTGGAAAGAATAGTGTGGGCCAAAGTATGGCCATAGGAAAGTTCATGGAATGTCTGGGGAGAGAACAAGAGTTCATTATGGCTAGTGTTTGGGGTTTATGTAAGTGGAGTGACAATATGTTGAAAGTTATATAAGGACCATATTTTAAATGGCTCTGATTTCTAAGGCTAAGATTAGTGATCTTTATGTCATAGTAACTACATTAACCACATCAACAAAATATGCAATTATCTGTGAAAAGATATGGTCACTTCACTTCCAGGTTTTTTAGGGAAACTCAAATGGTTTCTAGGCAATGTTATCACCTTGCTCTCAGAAATGTCCTAGCAGATAACACCAAGCAGACTATAGCAAATGTTTCTATTTTGCATGTAATTAAATCTCTTCTTTCAAAGTTTTATCCTTTCCATCCATGGGCCACACTTCTTCGCACTCCCATCTCCAGCCCCACTAGTTCTTGTGGCACCTGATGAGTTCACACAAGCCTAATTTGGGATTTCCAGTCACAGCTGCTACCCTGAAAGTAAGACCCACAGCCTTGAGAAGTGAGAGGTGGTGGTAGAGGCAGTGAACAATGTCATGAAAATGTAGCCATCTGAGTTTTATGGAATTCCCATCCTAAGAGTCAAGCATAGTTCTTTGAAATTGGAGTTCCACTCAGTTTCGTCTGGAGGACACCTAGAGGGGCCCCAAAGCTCAAAGTGCCTAAGTAAGGTCATCTTTTTAAGTTTCCACTTATTGCCAAGGAATTCCTTAAAGGAATGACACTTAATCTGGGTTACATGTTATTTAAAGGCCTCCTGGCTCTGAGGCTACTGAAGCTGTGGAGAGACTGGGGCGAACATTTCTTTTTGACTAAGGAATCCTGTTGGGCTTTGTCCTTGCTCAACAGGTTGGTAGTTGGGAACTTCTCCCATGCAATGAGTTTACAGATGCTAAAGGATGGCTGTATTAGGCAACTGAGCCAAAGAAGTAAGCTATATAGAACCAACCAGGGAAGATTTAGAATAACAAAGCTGCCATGGCCACACGTTCTGCAGCTAGTCAGTCTTCAGCTCTTTCCTGGAGTGAGACTTCCTCTGCAGGAAGTCATGGATTGCCGTAGTGAGGCCCCATGTCACACTGGACCTTAGGATGACCAGGGAGCCTCCACGGTAGATCAGGAGCAGCTTTCGACCCCGAGTGTTCCACACATCCTGGGCAGAGGCCCACAGGCTTGGCATGTTCTGCCATCCAATATGGGACTGCATATTAGCAACCAGCACAATCAGAGGATACAGAACTAGGCAGGTGATTGTTCCATTGACACTACCAGACACCAAGGCAGGAACCCAATGGGGCAGGCCTTGCTCTGCCAGGCCATCCTGGATGGGGTCCTTGAAAGAAAAATATAGAGCACTCCCCAGGCTGTTCCTGGCCAGGACAGGCCAGAAACCACGATAGTAACCCAGTGACAGCCGCCCCCAAAGCCCATAAGAGTTGAATTCCTTGAGAATGCTGAAGGTGCTGGGGAAGCGAGCTTGCTTGCGACCATCCTGGAGCACATTTTGCACCCTTTCAAAGGGACTGAGTGCCACAGCCTCCACCACGCCAGACATGAGCCCTGCAGCCCAGCGGTGTCCCAGGGTGTGTGGCCCAACAGGAGAGAGAAAGCACAGCAGGCTATCATAAGTCCCAAACAGAAGAGTCCCTTGCAACGTCTTGGAGAGAAGAGGAGGGTAGATTCCCCGGTAGAAGTATTGAGGACCTTCGTGCCAAAGCTGTCTCACAGCCTCTGACACTGCCATGGCATGGATCTGTTGCCGGAACACAACCTTATAGATAGGAAACGTCAGAAAAGTAGACATAAAGTTGGAAACGGCCCCAAGGGCGTAGGCCTGGGAATGCCAGCTTTTCTTTCCTGGAGCCTCTGCTCGTGTCCTGGGCTGAAGCTCCTTCCCGGGAGAGTGGTTCTGCTCCCCCATGCTGAAGACAACTGTGTGCAGATGGAAGAAACTGGCAAGGGTGGAAAAAAAGAGATTAGACTGACCAATTAATTCTGTTGGCAAGCATTTTCATTGCTTAATTAGAAATGAACCCTAAGAAACTCAGGTCGACGGAAACAAGCAACTCTTTGAGCCAGTTTCTGATATATAAGCACACCCTTAAGAAATTAAGAATTCATTAACTTTAAATTAAAAGAAAGGCAATCAGTTTTTCTGAACAGAGCCACCACTACAGTATTTTGCTGACACAGCAAATATTCCAATATTCAAAGGATTACAACAGAAAAACATGAAATAGAGGAGGGGAAGACTCCAAAACTTAATGCATCAACTTTCATGACATGAAACTGCATTTTATAAACTACTTGAATAATACATTACTATTCTCTTTTTTAAAAAATCTGGCACTATCTTGTAGAGGCAGAAAGGCATTTAACAGTTGAAGTGCAATGCTTTCTCTAAAAGTTGGTATTAAATTTGGGGAGGGGGAATCTCCCCTCGCCTTTCTCTCCATAGATTCCTGCCCAAGTTGTAGCTGTTTCATGGCAACGCCCAGCCCCCCTCTAGCAAGTGAGGAAAGGAAAGAGCAGCTGCTTCTGGAAGTTCAGTGCCTAAAGACTCAGCACCTGGCAACTTCTAAGCCTAACCTTGAAGACCTGTAGCTATATAATAGAGCAAGGTTTCTTAACCTCGGTGCTATTGACATTTTGGGCAGGATAATTTTTTATTCTTGGCCCCTGTCCTGTGCATTGGAGGATGTTCAGAGGCTCCCTGGCTTTGGCTCAGTGCGTGCCAGTAGCACCAGTGGTGACTTACACAGTGTGATGACCAAAAATATCTTGAGACCTTGCCAAATGTCCCCTGGGAGGCAAAACCTGGCTTAGAACCACTGTACTAGATAGAATAGGCAGTGCAAGGACCCCAAACTATTGCTCCTTACCCCAGAAAGGCCAGGAAGCAGATGGCTAGTATGAGAAGCAATTTGGAAGCCAGGACATATGAAGGAACTTTGGGATCTAAAGAAAAAATGAATGCTCAGTGCAGATCTGAGGGAGTTTGCCGGGGAGGAAAGAGGGGTTCCCTGGGCTGACGAGACAAGGTGTACAGTAGCCAGAGCTGGCACCTCAGGGAAAGGAGCACAGAGATGTGTGAGTGTGGGGCAGGAGGACAGGGGAGAGGGGGAGGGGCACGATGGCCAGGATGGAGGGCTTCCATCTACGGTGACAGGGACAAGAAGTCTGGCCGGATCTGCAGACCCACAAGTTTCATACAGAACCCTGGGCTATGTGGTGGGGGGCATGAAGGTTGGGGCTCTAATTAAGCTAGCAGGCTGATGGGGGACCAGAGAGTCCAGGCTGAGGTCCCCAGGGAGGAGTGGAAGTCACACACTGCAAGAAGCCCAATGCAGCCTTCCTGAGGCTGCCAGGCCAAGAATCCGCCTTGGCGTACTACTCCTTCCAAAATCACTCCCATCAGCTCTGCTCTTCCCTAGCCCCTTCTCCCTGCTCCATCCATCTCCCCACAATCCCATTCCTATCCCCACTGCTCCATCCATATCCCCATAATCTCATTCTATACCCCCTGCTCCATCCATATCCCTACAATCTCATTCCTATCCCCCTGCTCCATCCACATCCCCACAATCTCATTCATAACCCCACCCTGTTCCATCCATATCCCCACATTCTCATTCCTATCCCCTTTGCTCCATCCATTTTGTCACAATCTTACTTTACCACCACTCCCCTCCCATGGAGCCACACTCACCTCTTGGTGGAGGGAGATGGAGGCTCAGCCTCCTGTACTCTGCCCATCACCATGTCCCCCTACCCCCACATTCCATGATGGCCTTAAGCCTCAGCCTCCTTTACCCTCATAGCCAGTACACTGGGAGGGCCCCTCTGCCTCTGACCCTTTAGCTGAGAACAGAGCAGGAGTAAAAGCTCAAGAGGCCCACTATTTGCATCCCTTTAGGCCACCTCTGGCCCCTGGCAGCCCCACTTCCATTTCTCCAGAGCCAAAGGGGACTCCTCCCAGATACCCAGGCTGCTAAATCCACAGAAGCCCCCAACGGTCCTCAGCTCTCCTACTAAAGATCTTCTTTCCAAAGTCTTACCTTCACCTAAATAAGGGCAGGTGGTGAGGTAAATATTTGTCCTTTCTTCTATCTCAGAGTGCAGTAATGTTCCATTTCCTCCCTACCATTTATAAACGTGTTCACTGATACCATGAGGCAGGATGATTTAGCAGAAAGAAAACTGGGCTAGGATTTGGCAGTACAAGGATTCCCAACTATTGCACCTACCCCAGAAAGGCCAGGAAGCAGGTGGGGTAGTATGAGATAACTAGGATTCTAAGTGAGTTTTGTTATTAACTTGATGTGTGACCTTTAGAAGTTCAATGACATCTTGGAGCCTTACCCACCTGAGCTGTAAATGGAGAAGAAAGGGCAAAATAATTTTTAGTCATCTCCATATTGTATCTGTCAGAGGGTGTTGATATGGGGGCATTCAGGTCAATAGTTGATAGAGGGATTGTACTTTTCAATCCCCAACTCCTGCCATTTTTGTAAATCATTTTGAGGGATTAAAGGTGAACAATAATTGAGAAACATCTAACCTTAATATGTAATCCATTTTATAAATCCAATCCTTTCCATTTTATGGGAGGGGAGTTCGTGTTTCTCCCATGTATTTTCTGTTAAGATGCCAGGCTTTTGAAAGGGCAGACAGACCCGAGACTGAATTCTGCCTCTGCCACTTACTTAGTTGTGTGACCATGAACAAGACATTTCATTCAGTCTCAGGTTCTTCAGCTACAAAACAGAGATATTAGGATCCACCTCAAAACGTTGTGGCAGAGATTAATAACATGAAATGAGAGAAAGTGGTTGAGAAGCCATAACATGGTGGCCTTGATAAGAAGTATCAAAACAAAAATGCTTCTGGACTTCAGTATCTGTGTCCACAGAACACATGCTCCTTCTGGACGCTCTCAGGACAACCATAACCAGACACAGGGGCATTTGGGAACAAATCTTCTGTTCCCAAGGGAGGCAGGGAAGCCCTTACTTCCACGAATGGGAAGGCGCAGCATAAGCAATCTAGGAGAGCCTGGCCCCTTCACATGAATTCAAAGTACAGACCACAGAATGGACCTAGAGTTGGCCTTAAGCAGATATCATCTGTACCCTATGACCTGCCTCCTATGTTTACAGCCTAGTAAAATGAGCCCAGAGGATTCCAGACTCTCCCAGCCAGTCTAGTCCACATGGGTAGCCTGTGTGACTGCCCCAGGATCCAGCCACAAATGAACGTATTTGTCTGTTCACTCAGGGTATCTCTCAGCCAGTCCTTTGGTCAGCTCACAAACATGTATTGATCATCCACTAAATCATTGCGGGTAAACCACCATGGAGCTAGAGTGAATAGAATTTGGTGCCTGCCCTCAAGTGCCTGGGAATCTAGCAGGGGAGACAGGTCAACAATGAGCTAAACTCTACAGAAAAAACAAAATAAAGGGTACACTAATGAAGGTGGAAGCAAAAAGACAAGAGCAATTTATTCTACCTGAGAAGGGGCATATGACTCAATCCTTAACTGAGTAGAATAGAATATGCTGTTGTTAGGTAGGGGAGTAAGGGCAAGCATTCTAGGCTGAGGAAGTGGCCTAAGGTACATAGGCTTAGAAGTGTGAGTTGTGCATGGGGCTGGCCTACCCCATGTGTGAGAAGGAAATAGAGCTGTGGTTGACAGAGAGGAGCCCATTTAAGATGAGGGCCACATTTGTCTTCCCCACTGCATTGTGCTGTAGGGCACAGACATGGGCTCTGGATTCAGCCAGCCCTGGGTTTGAATTTCACTCTGTCACTTCCTAGCTTTATAACCTTGGCCAAGTTTCATCATCTTGCTGATCCTCAGTATCCTTATATGTAAAATGATTGTCATGAAGGATGCATGAGACAAAGTACAGAAAGTGCTTAGCATAGCACCTGGTATATAAGTTGCTCCATAAGTTATATTAGTAGTTTCATTTTTAAAAAATGAGATCAGGTAATTTATAGATTCAATGCCATCACCATTAAGCTACCAATGACTTTCTTCACAGAATTGGAAAAAACTGCTTTAAAGTTCATATGGAGCCAAAAAAGACCCCGCATTGCCAAGACCATCCTAAGCCAAAAGAACAAAGCTGGAGGCATCACGCTACCTGACTTCAAACTATACTACAAGGCTACAGTAACCAAAACAGCATGGTACTGGTACCAAAACAGAAATATAGACCAATGGAACAGAACAGAGCCCTCAGAAATAATACCACACATCTACAGCCATCTGATCTTTGACAAACCTGAGAGAAACAAGAAATGGGGAAAGGATTCCCTATTTAATAAATGGTGCTGGGAAAATTGGCTAGCCATAAGTAGAAAGCTGAATCTATCTTTTCCTTACTCCTTATACGAAAATTAATTCAAGATGGATTAGAGACTTAAATGTTAGACCTAAAACCATAAAAACCCTAGAAGAAAACCTAGGTAATACCATTCAGGACATAGGCATGGGCAAGGACTTCATTTCTAAAACACCAGAAGCAATGGCAATAAAAGCCAAAATTGACAAATGGGATCTAATTAAACTAAAGAGCTTCTGCACAGCAAAAGAAACTACCATCAGAGTGAACGGGCAACCTACAGAATGGGAGAAAGTTTTTGCAATCTACCCATCTGACAAAGGGCTCAAGAACATACAGAGAACTCAAACAAATTGACAAGAAAAAAACAACCCCATCAAAAAGTGGGCAAAGGGTATGAACAGACACTTCTCAAAAGAAGACATTCATACAGCCAACAGACACATGAAAAAATGCTCATCATCACTCGCCATCAGAGAAATGCAAATCAAAACCACAATGAGATACCATCTCACACCAGTTAGAATGGCAATCATTCAAAAGTCAGGAAACAACAGGTGCTGGAGAGGATGTGGAGAAATAGGAACACTTTTACACTGTTGGTGGGATGGTAAACTAGTTCAACCATTGTGGAAAACAGTGTGGTGATTCCGCAAGGATCTAGAACTAGAAATACCATTTGACCCAGCCATCCCATTACTGGGGATATACGCAAAGGATTATAAGTCATGCTACTATAAAGACACATGTACACATATGTTTATTGCAGCACTATTCACAATAGCAAAGACTTGGAATCAACCGAAATGTCCATCAGTGATAGACTGGATTAAGAAAATGTGGCACATATACACCATGGAATACTATGCAGCCATAAAAAAGGATGAGTTTGTGTCCTTTGTTGGGACATGGATGCAGCTGGAAACCATCATTCTCAGCAAACTTTCGCAAGAACAGAAAACCAAATACCACATGTTCTCACTCATAGGTGGGAATTGAACGATGAGATCACTTGGACACAGGAAGGGGAGCATCACATACCGGGTCCTATTGTGGGGAGGGGGTAGGGGGAAGGGATAGCATTAGGAGATATACCTAATATAAAGGACGAGTTAATGGGTGCAGCACACCAGCATGGCACATGTATACATATGTAACAAACCTGCACGTTGTGCACATGTACCCTAGAACTTAAAGTATAATAAAATATATATATATATATATATATACAATTTTAAAAGTCAAAAAAATTAGATAATAGGAATAAAGGCACGATTACAATTAAATTGTTCTAAAGGCTGCAATTGGTCTAATGAACTGGGTCATCTGCAGAATGCATTTTGGACTGCTTGTTTGGAAGGCAGCAAAGAAGAGTTTTCATGGGCTTTGGTGTTTGACATCCCTGGCCTGCAGTCTCAGTGCCTCCACTTACAAGTTGTGAAGCCTAACACAAGTTACGTAACATCCCTGAAATTCAGTTTCCCTGTCTGCAAAATGGGATACAATGGCTGTCTCAACAGGGTTACTGAGAAGCTTAAAAGAGATAACAGATAGAAAGTTCCTGGCACAAAGGAGGCAGGCAGCCAAAGGCAGCTATTATTGTTTCAGCTGAAAGCTTTATCTCCAAACCTTCAAGCCTTTAAGGTTTATTTTTTGAAATTAGAAAATGTGGTCTCATTAGAGCCATCAGTTGGAACACACTCATACACATGAGGCCAGAGATAGGATATCCTGTATCCAACTTGAGCCAGGTTGCTAATATTCCCCCCACCCCTGCATGAAGAGTCCCTTGCTTTGTTCTAGTAGCCCAACCCTGGCCACTTTACACAATCCATTTCCCATCATTATTTTTGTCAGAGCTCTGAGAACTATTCTTGGTTTTATGTGATTCCATCCCTACCAAGTCCAGCTGCAAATACCTAATTTGGTGATGAAGCCAATTTAAACACTGAACAAGAGTCTTCTGGGAGGCAAGAGTCAGATGTCATGGGACAGGGGAGCAGAAGCAAAAGTCTGAAGGAAACCTAAGAGCTACTGCCAGCATCACCCCTGAGTGTGCAAGGTGAGCAACCTGCCTTATCCATACATCCACACTTTCCACCCTCCACCACCACTACCCCACTGTTCCATCCACAGGCCATGATCCTGAGATGGAAGGTGCTTTATCTCCAAATTTATATTGTTTACTCCAAGGAACTCTAGATCTTGGGGTTGTAAATAAGAGGGTGGAAAGGAGCAAGTGAAGTACCTTGGCAGACTGAAGATGAAGCCAACAGCAGCTGAAGGGCATCAGACTGTTTACTTGCTTCTAAACATCAGGAGTCAAGAACAGGCCCCACAGGAGCCTCCTAGCCACACTATACAAAAAGGAAGTAATACCTGCTCTCTAAGTCAGGGAAAAATGGAGCAGGTTTTCCAGCCACTGCCTTCACGGCCATTCACTTTGGACAACCCTGCATGCCGTTTCCATGGAGTTGCTCCTTCTCTGGGGCCAGTGATGCCAAATCCAGCAAAGGAGAAGTCCCCTGAAGAGCTCACAGAAGGGCAACCTAGCAACCTGTCCTTGAGCCAGGAAATGAAAGAGCTATATCAGCAACAGAGAGCTGTGGTTTGGAGGTTAGGTTAAATGGGGTTTTATTTCTCACACTTCTTCGTCAAGCATGGCTTGAAGAAGGAAGATGTTATGACAGACCCATTTGAAAATCTGCAAAGCTGTGGACTCAGAAGAATGTACGGAGTCCAGATTCTTTGCTAACAATTCCAGGAAGGACCGCGGGTAGGAATCTGTGCTCTGGAGTTACATTTCATGACAGATATGCCATGGACAGATACACTGATAACAGGCCCATTTACTCATAACCTTCAGCATCACGTGGTGGTGTTTAGAACAGTGGTTCACGAATCTCTCTACACCTCAGAATCAACTATAGGGCTGGTTAAAACTACAAATCACACTCTTCATGCCTAGTCCTAGTACATCAAAATCCCCCAGGGGTAAGGCCCAATAAGCTGCATTTATAACAAGCTCTCCAAAATGGTTCGGAGGCAGCCCACCTTGTACTCACACTTTGGTTAATAGCATGAGTTCTGGATTCAGAGACTTGGTTCAAATTTTGGCTTCACCTTGTATTTTCAGATAAATCATTTTACCTCTCTGAGCCTGGCCTCTTTGGGGTCACAAAGGGCTGTAGAAATAATGTTGCTTTTAAAAAACAGGCAGCTTGTGTTAAAAAAACAAAAAAGCAAAAGAAAAAAAGAAAAAAAAGATTAATAATAATAAAAAAAGAAACAAGAAAGAAAAGTGTCAAAAAGAGTTTCCTCTTCTGTACAATGGGCACCATAAAGGTTGCCTTCATCTTCCCTCAGCCCTGTCCCCACTACCTCCTCACCCCCTCCCTCAGCACTATCATCACATTGAGACTGCTGTTGAGATGGTTTGAGACTACCTGTGCAAAAATACTCTCCAGGCAGCGCTGCAGGGCAAAGAATTAGCATCTAGAGTGCAACATACAGGTGCTAGGTTGGATGCTGTAACTTATTTGCTGCAGGATACAGGCCAAAACGAGTAACCTCTCTCTCTCTGGCTCAGTTTCTTCATCTGTGAAATGGAGATAACGGTTCTTGCTCACCAATTCTATGCAATCCCAAGTTGGTCCTCCCATCCTGGCCTTGGTTTTTCTCCACTATCCCTTAATCTGACAGAACAGAGGAGTGTTGGCAAGGGGCAGCCTTTGAAGTCAGACATGTTGACTTGGGTGTCAGCTCTTAGCTCTGCACTTCCTAACTGTACTGCCTGGGTGCTTCAGTCCTTTCCTGTTAAATGGGTACGCTGCTACCTCCTTCACAGGGCTGCTGAGAAGAGGAAAGGAGATGTCCATGCAGGCACCTCTGCACACAAAAAGCACTCAGTAAACGCTGTTTCCCCCCTTCCGCCTATACAAAGGTGAGGAACTCTCATTGTTCACTTGGGTTCTGTCCCACCTCGTGTTTAAGGCATCCGGTCTCAAAGCCGGGAGGAGAGCCGAGGTGGAAGGGGATAGGGAGAAGGGAAGCGATGGGGTAGCAGCAAACTCACGGATGAAAGGGAAATGGGCCCAGTCCGTGCTTCCGAGCTGCACTTGACGCCGTGCCGGCTCCCGCGCCTGTCTGCCGCAGCCCCCGCCCTCCCGCACCCCCTTCTTGCTAGCAGTAGCTTCGGGGCCGGAGGCTGCGCGGGGAGGCCGCCCCCTCGCCCCGCTGATTGGCCGCGTCGCCCGGCTCGTCACGCTCTTTTGTCTCAATGGGCAGAGACTGAAAGCAACCGCTGCTGCCCGGAGGGCCGAACTGGAGGGTGGGAGCAGCCTTGGCTGCCTTGGGAACCGCGCTGCCTCAACTCGGCTACCCCTTGCTGGGCGGTCATGCGAAGCACTCGCTAGATCTGGCAGCCCCGGGTCGCTTAGCGGCCGAGGAGGCGCCAGAGATACCGTTCCCCTGCAGAGCTACGGGGACCGGAAGGCAAAACAGAGCTGTCGACGCGGGAGCACATGCTGCCTACCAGTGGAGCGCAGGTAAAGAAAGAGCGCGCGATTGCCCGGCGCGGAGAGGGGTGGGGGAAGCCCCGCCAGGACTGGCGGCGCCTGGCTTGGAGAATCAGTAACTGCGAGGCAGGGGATGGAGCATTCCCTTGGCCTGGTTGCGCTGAGGAAGGAGTTGTGGTTCATCCGGATGCTGCCAACTGGGTAGGATTTAGGATTTGCCTGGATTAAGGTGGGTCGTGGTGTTGTCGGAGATCGGGGGTGTTGTCGGGCATCGGGGGTGGGGGTGTGTTCGGGGAGGTGGCAAGGGGCGGGAGGAGACGCTCGCAAGCTGTCTTGAACCCCTTTTGCATCTCCTCCTCTCTTCCTGGGAAGGAATATGGGGGTGGGAGGTTATCCAACTTCCAGTCTCTTTCTCCCTGGCAGGTCATCAAAGCCAAATCCGAACTTGGATTCTGTGCGGCGGATTGCAGAGCTGGTAGGGCGAGGGTCTCCCGGAGGAAATGTAAGGCGGGGTGGGGATGGGGGCAGGAGGCACTTTGGCTTGCGTTCAGAAGATGGGAGAGGGAATTTTCCGCCTGGTGACAGTGAAGCTGGTGGAGAGGAGGTATCAGGTTTTCAGATGAAGCTGCTTCCAATCCTTCCTTTCCCTCCTTCGCGTCACAGTCTTGAGGCCCTGAGGACTGGGACCTGCGACCCCCAGTGGACAAAAGTCGGCTCTACCCCTAATTTTCTCACGGCAGGCACCTGTTGCAGAGGCTGCACGTAAAATAAAGGCGAACGCTAGTTTCCGAGTTCATGTAAGAATCTGAGAAATAACGGGGGAAACGTTGACAAGGGGATGTGATTGAGACCTGAGGCCATGAGGTTAATGGTTTCTTATTACCATAAATCTGTGACCCACAACCATTGAGTTCCGTTTTGAGGGCCCAGTATAAGCTCCAAACACTATGTCATCTAGAATTAGAAGCAACAGTTGTCGCCCCTCCTGGAGTACAGGCAGGAGTGGATGGATGTGGCTCTGAAAAACTACCTACTAGTCCAAGGAAACCTGCTAGCTCTGGAATGTTGTAATTGCCAGTCTCCTGCAGGGTATTGTTAAGGCACTGGGCAGATATAAAATGCACTACAACGTTATTCAGGAAGATCGAGAATGCTACTACAGACTGCTTCCCCACAGCCCACTATCTTATTAACCGTTTTTATTTTCCTTAGAATCCCTACTGAAATACAAGGCAGGCACAGCCCATGAACGTTGCTTTGGAGAATCCTGCAGATAAGGCTTTTCCAAAAAGCGCGAGTATCTTGTTGTATTCAGATACCCTATCGTCGTCAGTCATGGCTAGCATCATTGCGCGTGTGGGTAACAGCAGGCAGCAGAATGCACCTTTGCCGCCTTGGGCCCATTCCATGTTGAGGTCTCTCGGGAGGAGTCTCGGTCCTTTCGTGGTCAACATGGCAGAGAGAAACATGAAGTTGTTCTCGGGGAGAGTAGTGCCAGCCCAGGGGAAAGAAACCTTTGAAAACTGGCTGATCCAAGTCAATGGGGTCCTGCCAGATTGGAGTATGTCTGAGGAGGAAAAACTCAAGCGCTTGATGAAAACACTTAGGGGCCCTGCCCGGGAGGTCATGCGTTTGCTTCAGGCGGCCAACCCCAACCTAAGTGTAGCAGATTTCTTGCGGGCCATGAAATTGGTGTTTGGGGAGTTTGAAAGCAGTGTGACTGCCCATGGTAAATTTGTTAACACCCTGCAGGCACTAGGGGAGAAAGCCTCCCTTTATGTGATCCGTTTAGAGTTGCAGCTCCAGAATGCTATTCAGGCTGGCATCCTAGCTGAGAAAGATGCAAACCAGACTGGCTTGCAACAGCTTCTTTTAGGCACCGAGCTGAATAGGGACCTGTGCTTCAGGCTTAAATTTAAGCATCTTCTCAGGATGTATGCAAATGCGCAGGAGCGGCTTCCCAATTTCCTGGAGTTAATCAAGATGATAAGGGAGGAAGAGGATTGGGATGATGCTTTTATTAAACGGAAGCGGCCGAAAAGGTCTGGGCCAATAATGGAGAAGGCAGCCAGCCCTGTGGCATTTCAGGGTGCCCAGCCAATAACAATCGGCAGTGCTAACTGTAACTGCAACGTGATGGAAATAGATGATACCCTTGATGACTCCGATGAGGATGTGATCCTGGTGGTGTCTCTGGACCCTCCACTGACACCCACAGGTGTCCCTCCCTTCAGAGGAAGAGCCAGACCTCTGGATCAAGTGCTGGTTATTGATTCCCCCAACAATTCTGGGGCTCAGTCTCTTTCTACCAGTGGTGGTTCTGGGTATAAGAATGATGGTCCTGGGAATATTTGTAGAGCCAGGAAGTGAAAATACACAATCTGCTGTTCATATTGTGGTAAGGAGGGCCACTCAGAAGAAACCTGTGACAATGAGAGCAACAAGGCCCAGGTTTTTGAGAATCTGATCATCACCCTGCAGGAGCTGACACATACAGAGGACAGGTCAAAAGACATCCCTGGAGAACACAGTGATGCTTTTGAGCCACAGTAAGGATCTAGACCCAGCCCTAAATGAGTTCTTAACTGTATTCAGAGTAATGGGAATAACAGGAGAGGAGGGTGGGTTTCTAACTGCATGAATCCACAAAGCAGTTTTCCTTTGGGAAAGAGAAGAGGTCTTTCATACCAGCACAGTGGAGGGGAATGGTGTGACCTCTGTCCATGCTCCCTTCTCTGCTGGCTTAAGAGTCTGTTCTCCATGTGTCTATTTCTTTGATGACTTTCTACTTTTTATGAAAGGAGCATCTTTTCAATAAACCTTCAAAAATAAAGGAAGATACAAAAACTAAAGTACAAATTACCTGAAACTCAGCACCCTTTTTTAACCATTGTCAGCCCTTTGGTGAATGTCCTTCCAGATATCTCCCTGTACCTGTGTACCCAGATAGATACATGTATAGATAAGAGTGATCAAATATAAATGCTGTTCTATACTGTGTATTTTTCACCAAATAATATATCTTGTGGACTTCTATGTCAATGAATATATATAAACATCTTATTTCATATCTCTGTGTGATGTTACTTTTAGAAAGATAAAGAAAAATGAAACTAAATATAGAAGCTATAAGTGGGGGTCATACTAGGAGGATGGGTTTTTATCAACCTCATTTATAGGAAAGGAGAAAGGAAACTGAAATGGACTGAATATCTCCCATACAACCCCTTAACACAACTGACCTGTCTCCTAGGTCATAGAGCCAACTCCTGCACCCATGAGTTAATAATGTTCCAATGTTTTCTTCTTGAACATATCATGAGACATCAGATGGGGAACAGCAGGGACAAAAATTGAAAATGGGTATTCCAGAGGCTCCATTCCTGTTTGTATTGGGAAGGGACAACTACTCCTGCCCCATCTCTTGACCTCAGATTAGAGGGTGATAAAAGATGACATGTGACCTCTATCCCCGAGGGTCCCAACTTTCTTGTAGGTACAGTAGTCCCTATCCTCACAAAGAGGTCAAGACTGGCAAGGTGCAGGGAGGAATGATTTCATTTAAGGCAGGGAGTGGAGTGAAATGAATGCAGACCTGAGGACCTGAGGGAGTTTGCCTGGGAGGAAAGAGGGGGCCCCTGGGCTGACGAGACAGGGTGTGCAGCAGCCAGAGCTGGCACCTCAGGGAAAGGAGCACAGAGCTATGTAGGTGGAGGACAGAAGGACAGGGGGAGAAGGGAAGGGGTATGATGGCCAGGCTGGTGGGCTCCCATCTACAGTGACAGGGACAGGAGGCCTGGCAGAAACTGCAGACCCACAGGTTTCACACAGAACCCTGGGCTATGTGGTGGGAGGAGTGGAGGTTGGGACTCTAATTAGGCTAGCAGACCGATGGGGGACAAAAGGGTCTAGGCTGAGTCCCCCAGGGAGGAGTAGAAGCCACACACTGCAAGGAGCCCAATGCAGCCTTCCCAGGGCTGCCAGGCCCAGAATCTGCCTTGGAGTGCTCTCCTTCCAGAATCACCCCCAAATCTGCTCTTCCCTGGTCCCTTTCTCTTGCTTCATCCACATCCCCATAATCCCATTCCTATCCCCACTGCTCCATCCATATCCCCACAATCTCATTCCTATCCTCACTGTTCCATCCATGTCCCCACAATCTCATTCCTATCACCCTGCTCCATCCATATCCCCACAATCACATTCCTATCCCCTCTGCTCAATCCATGTCCTCAGTCTCATTCATACCCGCCCTGCTCCATTCATATCCCTACAATCCCATTCAGTTCCCTCCTGCTCCATGCATATCCTCACAATCTCATTCAGATCCTTCCTGCTCCATCTGTATCCTCAGTCTCATTCCTATCCCCCTGTTCCACCCATATCCCCACAATCTCATTCAGATCCCCCCTACTCCATGCATATCCCCACTGTCTCATTCAGATCCTTCCTGCTCCACCTGTATCCTCAGTCTCATTCCTATCCCCCCGCTCCATCCATATCCCCACAGTCTCATTCAGATCCCCCTCCTTCATCCATATCCCCGCAATCTCATTCAGATCCCCCCTGCCCCATCCATATCCCCACAATCTCATTCATATCCCCCCTGCTCCATCCATATCCCCACAGTCTCATTCAGATCCCCCTGCTTCATCCATATCCCCACAATCTCATTCCTATCCCCCTTGCTCCATCCATTTTCTCACAATTGCACTTTACCACCACTCCCCTTCCCTGGAGCCACACTCACCTCTTGGTGGGGGGAGATGGAGGCTCAGCCTCATGTGCTCTGCCCATCATCACCTCCCCCTCCTCAGCATTCCATGATGGCCTTAAGCCTCAGCCTCCTTAATGCTCATGTCCAGTAGACTGGGAGGGCCCCTCTGCCTCTGACCTTTTAGCTGAGAACTGAGCAGGAGCAAAGGTTCAAGAGACCCACTTTTTGCATCCATCTGGGGCACCTCTGGCCCCTGGCAGCCACCTCCATCTCACCACAGGCGAAGAGGAACCCACCACCCAGGCAGGAGGCAGCTTCATCAAGCCCCCAAAGCCACAGGGTCCCCCAACACTACCTGGCTCTTACAGCCCCTTATTCCTTCCTACCTCTCCTGCAATCTATCCTTGGAGGGGATTTGCCCACTCATCTCTCCAAGATTAGAATATAGTTCCACTTCCTGCTCACCTTTTCTCAAATTCAATCTATAAATGCTATTGAATGATTTACCTAGATATGCTGTCATGATTTCTTTCTGAAATCAGGTAGAATGAAAAGAGGAGTAAATGCTACACCTACCCCCACCCTCCTTTTCACTGGAATTAGCTTGGAGGTTCAAGATCATTACTTTGAAACCCTGCTCTGTAATTCATCCCCTTTCCTTCCCCCCTCATCCTGTCCTCTGTTGTGTAAACCTGAAACTGTCTAAATTTTTACTTCACCAAAATGATGCAAAAGTGATACTTTTTATTTCATTTTGTGTCACACTGGCTTTCCTTTATTCAAGAAGTATGTATTTTGCCCAATTGGAAGACATAGAAGACTTGGAGTGATCACAGGGTTAAGTGAAAGAAGGCTTTTAGAAAATTTTGTGTTCAATACCCTTCATTTATAATTATTGTTTTTTCCTTTCCTTTCTCCCTTCATTCTCATTAGTCGCTAAGAGATGAAAATTGCTCTTTTGTCTTGTCAGGAGACACCAGCCTTTGAATGACCTCCTTTTGCATTATCTCCCTCCTTCTTGATACTATTTTCCCTTGTTTCCATGACATCATCTCACGGTTTCCCTCTCCCAGATCTTTTTGGTGCCTACTTCTCAGTCTCTTTTGCTGAATATTCTTTCCCTTCCTGATCCTTCCGCAATAGCAATAAAAATTTAAATCACTGCAAGTGCGATTTATTCCAAGCTTATTACATGCCAGGCACCCAGTGCCAAACCTTTAAAACGCATTATTAGCTTTTCATAGCAACTCCCTCAAGATAAGTATTACTTTCTATTTCTAATTTGCTACTAATTTAATTACTATTAATTGACACATATTTCAGATGATGAAACAGGCCGGGAAGTTAGAAAACGTACTTAGGATCATGTAGTTATTTAGTGGTACTAGTCAAGGATAAGACACTGGACTGACTGACCCCAAAGTCTGTGTTCCTTACTTGAGTTAGCCCTCATGTGCACAGGACCCTATGAGGTTGGTGTTATTATTATATAGAGATGATACGTGAGGAAAACAAGGTCAACAGACATAATTAGCCAAACGTCACAGCAGCAAGTGGCTTGTGCGCCATACACAAGGATGCAGCCTTTAAAGAATACTTGTTTGACACAGGCTTTTTCCACCTTTCTTTCACATTCTCTCCTTGCTGCAGCTATCCCTCCTGCTGCCTGGCAACCATCCCTTCTCCCTTCAGAGTTGTATTATCACATTCAGTTCAGGTATCAAGTTTCCAGTCTATGCTTTTGGTGCAAATGGTTTTGAATTTGAAGTATGCAAGAGGAGACAGCTGCAACAGTGAGTGGAGGAGAGATAAATTGTTCAATTTGTGGTGCTGGGGAGAACTTCATTACCTGATTGGAAAAAAGGCCAGTTTCCTTTCTCCCATGACACTAAATATGAATCCCAGACACATTTGAGAAGTAAATGTAGATTTTATGCAATTATGTACTAATCATATATTTTTTCATATATTTTTAATCATATATTTTGTTGTTATAAAATGAATAAAAAGAATCAAATGTTCAAAAGCAACCCCTTTGAAAGCTGCAACACAATACATGTTAAATCTCTGGGTTGGAGAGAACTTTCTATAGTTAAGACTAATGAAAGAAAGTATAAAGGAAAAGATCGATAATTCAGAAGACAGCATTAACAAAAATACCAACAGTAAGCTGAGAAACACTGGCAACAAATATGATGGACAGGGGGCAGGGTTGGCAACAAATAAGAGAAGCAATAATAACAACAAATCTGTATTGTGTTTAGACAGTTAACATTTATTAAGGTCTTACAAAGTGCCAGGCATATTCTACAAGCTCTACATGGCTTTATCCTTCATCCCATTCTTACAACAAGCCCTGAGATAAATCTTGTTTTAAAATTTCCACATTGTAAAACACTCTAACGGGGGGGGGGGCGGTTGGGGCGGAGGGAAGTGCATAAAATATAAATTTACAACTTAACAAATTATTATAGAGCAAATTACCATAAAGATCAAGAAACAGAACACACCAGAACTCCAGAAATTCCTGTAAGCCCTTGCCCAATCACAACCTCTTTCCTCTCTCCCAAACCAAACCAAACAAAACACTCTCATGACAGTTTTGGCTATTGCTTTCTTACTTTTCTTTATAGCTTTACCACTCAAATATAGATGCCCAAACACTATTGTTTCTTGAGCTTTATGTAAATAGAACCATAATGCATATACCCTTCTGTATCCAGCTCATTGCCCTTACAATTATCCTTCTGAGATTCAACCTGGTTGCATGTGGCATTGGTTCATCATTCTCAGTATTGTGTTTTCTATGACTTTACAAGAATTTATCCTTTTACTGTCGATGGACATTTGGGCTGTTTCCAGTTTGGGACAATTATGAAAACTGTTGCTAAGAACATGTTTTTAATGTTTCCTGGTACATATGTGCACACACAACGTACATATGTAGGAGAGGAATTGCTGGCTCATAGATTATGTATATTTTCAACTTCACTAGACACCACCAAACTGTATACCAAAGTTGTACCAATTCCCACTTCCACCATCAGTGTTTGAGAGTTCCTGTTGCTCCACATTCTCACAAACACTTGACACTGTCAACAAAGCTTCATAACTTTTGCTTCAGGTTTTGTATGTCTATTATTACATTTCATTCAAGGTAATTGTGTATGCTACTATAAATGAAATATTGGTTTAAATTTCATTTTCTAAGTGCTTATTGATGGTGTATAGAAATATAACTGGTATTTTGATGTTGATATTGTATACTGACTTTGCTAGTCTCTCTTAATAATTTTAATCTGTAGCTTCCTTAGAATTTTTCTGCATACACAAGCACATCATCTGTGAATGATGGCAGTTTTACTTCTTCTTTACCAATCCATATACATTTCTTTTTCTTACCTTACTGCATTGACTGGGACCTAGAGTACAAGAAGTAGTGAGAAGAGACATTCTTGTCTTATTCCTGAACTCAAGGGGACCACTTTGAACAATTCAACGTTAAGTGGATGCTTGCTGCAGGTTTTTAGTAAATACCACTTATCAGTTTAAAAATGTTTCTTTCCATTCCTAATTTACCATATGTTTTTAAAATAATCAATGGATGCTGAATTTTATGAAATGCTTTTTCTGTATCTATTAAGATTATCATATGCTTCTTTCTCATTTATTAGGTAAAATGCTAAATTACATTATTTGTGTTTCTAATAGTAAACCAACCAGGCATTCCTGGAATAAACAAGATTTTGTCCTGATTTATTACAATTGTTATATATTGCTGGATTCAATTTGCTAATATTTTGTTTAGGATTTTTAGATCTATGTCTGTAAGAGAGAGTCACCTATAATTTTCCTCTCTGTATAATGTCTTTGTGAGATTCTGGTATCAAAGTTTTGCTGGTCTCCTAAAACTAGTTGAGGAATACAATTCTCCTTTGGCTTTCTTCATTTAAAAACCAGGCAACTGAGGTCCAAGGTGTTTAGATTATTTTTCATAACTGCATTAAATCCAATTATTTACTTGTATCCATGATTTATTAAGCCAGCCTCTTTAGAGCTAGTCATTACCTTGTTTCCATTGTTTCACCGTTATAAACCCACTGAGAACAGCATCCTTACTCAAATACAGGTTTGTACATGTGAACAATTATTTCCTGAGGATACATTCCTAGAGGTGATGTTGCTGGAACAAGCACTATGTTTCACAGGAACCAGAGCAGAAAGAGAGGTGGCCTGTGGCACATCCTACTTTAGTAGCTCTGGCTCACATTCAGGGCCCTTCCTCATCTCTTAACTTGCTGGGAATACCCTTTAACTCTGAGCTACTAGAGACTTCAATACTTAAAAATATTTAAAGGTCAATTCAGCTCTAAGAAACTCTCCAAATTAAGTTTTCAAATGATTTGGCAGGAGGAGGGGGTTGTTTTTAACATTTTCAATGGAACTTTCCAAACCCACATGAAATTATAGAAAATGAATGATGAATCCCCATGTACCCATCACTCAGCTTCAAGAATTATCAATATGTTGCATAACTTGTCTCATCTATAGTCCCCCACATTTTGATGAAGTATTTTAAAGCAATTACTAGATATCACATCAAATGGTATGATTCATATATATGTGTGTGTGTGTGTATATGTGTGTGTGTGTATATATATATATATATATATATATATATATATATAGAGAGAGAGAGAGAGAGAGAGAGAGAGAGAGAGAGAGACAGAGAGAGAGAGAGAGAGAGAGAGATGGCAATCGTACTCTGTTTCCCAGGCTGGTCTCAAATTCCTGGCCTCAAGTGATCCTCCCGCCTTGGTCTCCCAAAGTGTTGGGATTACAGGTGTGAACCACCATCCCTGGCCTGATTCTTCTGTATTCTACCCATGGTTCTACCTCCCCTTTTTGTTCCAGAATTTTTATTGGGGTGAAAGTTACAAAAAATTCACCATTTTGACCATTTTAAAGTGTACAATTCAGTGGTATTTAGTACACATTCCAAATATTTTTTATTTGTACATTTCTTATATTCTGAGTCCATTTTTCCAGAATTTTATTAGCTTTTTGTACAAATTTAGATGTCTCCTGATTTCTTTTTTCTTTTTTTTTTTTTTTTTTTTGAGATGGAGTCTCGCTCTGCCACCCACGCTGGAATGCAGTGGTGGGATTTCTTCTCAGCAGATGCAGACACTTCTCTGAAGACCAACAGCAGAATTGAAGTCTCAGGATAGGTAAAAGCTTCTGTAAACATCCAGATCCACAGCCCCAACCACTTTCCTTTCACCCTGGCTGAATACCACATCTTGAGGCAATCAACTACTAAAAGGCTGCTCAAACTCCCTTTTTTCTGTAATGAGACTACTTCACCCCCCTTTTTATTTGGCTACTCTAAATTCTCCTTTTAAAGGAATACAACAGCCCTCAATGACTTCTTGAGGAAAAAGAAGATAATCACAAATTCAGTTTCAACAAGCAGGACATTTTGCTATACTGTACCAACTAAGCCATGTTCCTCAATCCAGCTTTTGGGAGTCTGAGAGGAAATACCTCTCAGAGCAGGGAGTCAAGGAGATATATTTGTATTCCAATCTGAAAACTGTACTTTGTATAAAGGTGGCTGGTCAGGTTGCTTGTGGAGGGGTTGGGTGGTTGGACAAGAAGAGGGATGTGATTTGGGCATTCCTGAACCTTTGGCTCCTTATCCTCACAGGAGGAAAGGAACTTGGGCAAAGTAGTTAACTTCTCCGCTTCAGCTTCCTGATCAGTAAAACGGAGACAATAACAGGAAGTCCCTGACAGGGTTGTGGTGAGAATTAAATGAAGGAACACTTGAGAAGTCTTTAAAAGAGCGCCTGGTGCACTGTAAGTACTGTGCCACAGAATGCCATCATAATGACACCAATCGCCTCTCTCCAAACTCTCTGAGCACCCTTGTAGATGGATTACCTAAACCATCCCTCCCAGACCCTTCACATAGGATGTCATTAAAGGCAGTAAAGCTACTCTCTCTCGTGTGCAGGGGAAAAGAATATAATCCCTTTATAAGCTAACCAAATAAATTCTCTCAGAGCACGAACTGCCCTTGCATGAAGAACATACCTCTGGGGATGCTTGCTTAGTTGGGGAGGTGAGTGAGGCTCTCTGGACCTAGCTGAGATGGCCCGGATCTAAAGGAAGAGAGCAGCTCAAATTCTCCACAGAATAACTTAGAAACTTTGAAGGATGGGAGCTGGTAAGCCAAAGAGGTGAGGGAGCTCTAGGGTCAGGCAGGAAGCTCAATGGAAGAGAAATGTGAGATAAATTGTTCTAATATTCTTCTGTGTAGTTTGCTGATTTGTTGATTTTTTTTTTTTTTACTTTTTTTTCCTTTTTTTAAATTATACTTTAAGTTCTGGGATACATGTGCAGAACGTGCAGGTTACATAGGTATACACATGCCATGGTGGTTTGCTGCATCCATCAACCTGTCATCTGCATTAGGTATTTCTGCTAATGCTATCCCTCCCCTAGCCCCCCACCCAACAACACGCCCCACTGTGTGATGTTCCCCTCCCTGTGTCCATGTGTTCTCATTGTTCAACTCCCACTTATAGGTGAGAATGTGCAGTGTTTGGTTATTCTGTTCCTGTGTTAGTTTGCTGATAACAATGGTTTCCAGCTTCATCCATGTCCCTGCAAAGGACATGAACTCATCTTTTTTTATATCTGTATAGTATTCCATGGTGTATATGTGCCACATTTTCCTTATCCAGTCTATCATTGATGGGCATTTGGGTTGGTTCCAAGACTTTGCTATTATGAATAGTGCTGCAATAAACATATATGTGCATGTGTCTTTATAGTAGAATGATTTATAATCCTTTGGGTACATACACAGTAATGGGATTGCTAGGCAAATGGTATTTCTGGTTCTAGATCCTTGAGGAATCGCCACACTGTCTTCCACAATGGTTGCACTAATTTACACTCCCACCAACAGTGTAAAAGTGTTCCTATTTCTCCACAGCCTCGCCAGCATCTGTTGTTTCCTGACTTTTTAATGATCGCCATTCTACCTGGCATGAGATGGTATTTCATTGTAGTTTTGATTTGTATTTCTCTAATGACCAGTGATGATGAGCGTTTTTTCATGTTTGTTGGCCGCATAAATGTCTTCTTTTGAGAAGTGTCTGTTCATATCCTTTGCCTACTTTTTGATGGGGTTGTTTTTCTCTTGTAAATTGGTTAATGTTTTACTGGTTAGCCTTTCAAAACAATTTCTGGCCAGGCACAGTGGCTCATGCCTGTAATCCCAACACTTTGGGAGGCTCCGGAGGATTGCTGAAGCCAAGAGTTCGAGACCAACCTGGGCAACCCAGCAAGACCCCATCTCTACAAAAAATAAAAATGAAAAAATTAGCCAGGCATAGTGGCACATGCCTGTAGTCCTAGCTGCTTGGGGAACTGAAGCAGGAGGATCATTTGAGCCCAGGAAGTTGAGGCTGCAGTGAGCTATGATCATGCCACTACACTCCAGCCTGGGTGACAAAGCAAGACCCTGTCTCAAAATAAAAATAAATTCAATTAAAAAATTTATTGTAACATTGTTTAGTGTAGTACATGCTCAACTAAAAAGAAATAACTTTTTTTTCTTTCTTTTCTTTTTTTTCTTTTTTTGAGACAAAGTCTCATTGTCGCCCAGGCTGGAGTGCAGTGGCATGATCTTGGCTCACTGCAACCTCCACCTCCTGGTTTCAAGAGATTCTATTGCCTCAGTCTCCCTAGTAGCTGGGATTACAGGCACACACCACCATGCCCAGCTAATGTTTATATTTTTAGTAGAGAAGGGGTTTCGCCATGTTGGCCAGGCTGGTCTCAAAACTCCTGACCTCAAGTGATCTGCCCACCTCGGCCTCCCAAAGTGCTGGAATTACAGGTGTGAGTCACCACACCCAGCCCAAAAAACACCTTTCACAGAAAGGGGAAAAAGTAGAAGTGAAAGTTCCCCAGCTCCCCACAGTCTGGTCTGGGGTGTGTTCTTCCAGATGATGCTTTTACACAAACACAAACATATCTATTCTTGTTCTTTTTCTATAAAAGTTGGGTCATAGCAGGTACATGGTTCTGAGACTCTATTTCGTATTGCCTGCTGTGCTAAAATAAACCCTCTTCACTGTCCCAAACCTTCAGCAACATCCTGCTACTTGCTTTGTGCTGTTTATGCTCTTTGGACCAGCTGCTTGAGAGTTTTCTCTCAGTGAAAGGAAGAAATTATAGTTTCACCTCACTACAATCATATGGTAATAACAGCTACTGCTTATGGTACCCCTAGTGTGTCTGGTAGTCTCTTTGGTGCTTTACTTGAATTCTCATACCCATTCCTCACAACAACCCCTTCGAAGTCGGTCCCACTATTATCCTATGTGGGTTCACAGATGAAAACTCAAGACTCAAAAGGTAATGAGTGGGAAATTAAGGAGAAAAGCACATATGCTGGAGACAGGACTTGGGCATTCAGCATCTCCTTAAATCTTTATAATGACCTTATGAGGGAGCTTTCACCCCAAATGAGGACACTAAGGCTGCAGAGTTCACAGAGCAAGCAGCATTCCTGTTCTCTGCCAGGATGAAGCCACTGAGAGTTCATAAGTACATCCATCCCTTTCCGTAAAACTTGATGAAAGAAAGCTAGCAAAGATCTGAAAACATGGAGGTACACACAGTGCTCAGTGATTGCAAAACTCAATATAATAAAAATGTCAATCTTCCCCAAAGT